GACATAAATTGGACATATAAAATTGGATCAATGGACCAAGATCACAACATTCAGAGTACAAGCCAGTGAGACACTAGAGGGATGACTTTGAAGTCCCACTGAGTAAAAACAATAAGGTATGGAGCCAGTTTGGTGTAGCAGTTAAGTGTGCGGACTCTAATCTGGGAGAACCGGGTTTGATTCCCCACTCCTCTACTTGCACCTGCTGGATGACCCTGGGGAAGCCATAGTTCCGGCACAGCTGTCCTTGAAAAAGAACAGTTTCTTTTCTTTTTTGGCCCCCCGAAGTGGAATTTTTTTTTTTGCATTTTCTATACGCTACAATTATGGGATGGGGGTAGGGATACTAATACCCTAACACTATTACTATGGGTGATGGGTGAAGGAGATCTAATACATATATCTACTCGATAGGGAAAGGAATACTACCACTCTAACCTATTTCATCTACTGGATTTGGGGGAAGGGAGAAGTCTAATACATGTCCCGATCTGAATGCTTGAAAAAATAATGCGTTTTAACCTAATATTACACGTTATATCAAGATTTGGTTCAATTATGATAGTACAAATTTCATAGCATAACACAATTACTGCCTTTAGTTCTATTGTCTTAGTTCTAGAGTCTTTTCTTACGTTTCTTTGTTTTCTGGAGTTTGGGGGTAGCCTCTCCTTTCTCCGATTCAGATGATTCTGATGACATGGAATTTTGGCTTGTTGAATCCTGTGAGTAGGATTCCTCTTCTTATTCTTCTTCCTCCCCATCCGGTTTTCAATTCTTTTCCTTCTGCTTCTTTTTTTAATTAAACATTTGATCCATAAATGTTTCCGCTTTTGAAACAGAGTCAATTTTATATTTTTTGTCCTGGTAATTGAAGCTCAGCCCTTCCGGGAATAACCATCTGTATGGTATTCCCTTTTTTGGAGAGTGAGAGTAAGCATCCTATAGAGTTTCCTACGTTTTCTAACTTTGAAAGGGATGTCTTTCAAAAATTTTACATCTTCATTCTTGATTTTTAAGGATTTCCCCACTGTTGAATTTAGCACCAGTTCTCTGTTTCGTGAATTTTAGATAGGTTTCCCCTGGGAGTGTTTTTCTTTATAAAGTCCGGATAAGTCCTATAAGCCACATCCATCCCTTTTTAAAATCTTCTTCTTTATAATCCATTAATGGGGCCAAGGCAACCACCAAAAGTTCTTTTAAATCCTCATTCTTCTCTTCAGGGATCCCATGGAAATGTAGAACGTACACGGATCTTTCCAGCTGGAGCTGTATTAGTTGTGTTTTATTAGAGGATATTTCCTTCTCTGCTTCATCCACTCTTTTGTTAATGCTCTCAGTCTGCTTTTCCATCTTTTTAAACATTTGCTGAAGTTCTTTTATCCATTTGATTCAGTTGTTTGATTCAGTTTTTTCTTGAAAAAGAGCAGTTTCTATCAGAGCTCTCTCAGTCCCACCTACCTCACAGGGTGTCTGTTGTGAAGAGGGGAAGGGAAAGGAGTTTGTAAGCCGCTCTGAGAAGCCTTTGGGTAGTGAAGGGCGGGGTATAAATCCAATCTCTTCTTCTTCTTCCTCTTATATGCCAAATGACATCACATATAGTTTACACATTAAAGAATCTCTAATTGGTACCAAGCAGTTACCATCATACAAGCATCATTTGACTTAAATCTTACTATTGGTCATGTATGTCAGTGACTGCATTTGCTTAGCTGCTCTTCAGAGCAATGGGAACATTAGGGAACAGTGAGATCCCTTCTGACCTTAGTGAAGCTAGTCCCTCGTTCCCTTGCTTTTGGGGAGCTGGGTGATAAGCTGGGTGATAAGCTGGGTGATCACATTTAACTTCACTCTTGACATTCTTGAAGCTTCTTGAATACACATTCCATTCTTACTGCATCCTAATTCTATCCCCAGAGGCCTCTTAATAATGCTTTTCCTTAATATATAGCTTCATATACAAATGCAGTTATAGAATATATATTCTGGTATAAATTTTTCTAATCAGGGAATTCTGGGTCACAGGCCAAGATCTGGAACTATTATAATTAAATTTTTGAAGGCACAGTGACAGCTGTCAGGATATAAACATGTCCGAGGAAATGTCAGAACCCACATTCAGAAATCACATTCCTGAAGATCAATTGCAATAGCCACCTGGAGTTTGCCAACCCTGCTTGGCAACCTGGCACGATCCTGTGTTGGATCTGTGTTCGGATTTGGCAACCCTGCTTCACCCAGCCCACCATCACACACCATCACACTGTCCGAAGATGTTTCCGTGGTCATGTGGCTGGCATGACTAGACGCCGAGGTGCACAGAATGCTGTTACCTTCCCACCAAAGTGGTACCTATTTATCTACTTGCAATTTTTTGCTTTTGAACTGCTAGGTTGGCAGGAGCTGGGGCCAGAAATGGGAGCTCACTCTGTCATGCAGCACTCGGGTTTTGAACTGCTGAACTACCAACTTTCCAATCTGCAGTTCAGTGTCTTAACCACTTGAGCCACCACAGCCCTCATATCCCAATACAGAGATGCAAAAACTCATCAAAGTTAATAACACCTTTAAGAACACTAGAGAGTAAATGAATCTACCAGCAAACAGGTATTCGGCAGTTTCCCTTCAAAGACTATATAGTTTAGGTACAGCCAACATATTTCCACAAAACTTGAACAGTCCCCCCCAAAGTTTATACAACTGTTAATATGATAAACTATCTTCTCCATAATATAAATATTCCATAGTTTGTCAGTTTTGTAGATTTTCCAGGCTGTATGGCTGTGGTCTTGGCATTGTAGGACCTGACGTTTCACCAGCAGTTGTGACTGGCATCCTCAGAGGTATAACACAGAAAGATGGAGTACTCTCTGTGTCAAGGTGAGAAGAAAAATGGTAGGCAGGTAATTTATATCTACTCAGGAAGGTGGGGTAGGGCTGAGTCATTATCTTGGAGGAGTTCCCCAGGCTGTGACGTGCTAATGGAGGAGCTTTCCTGAGGAGGTTCTTTTTCCATAGTTTATCAGACCACAAGTCAATTGTTGGTGGACGTTTAGCCTTCCATCGAGAGGCTATAGCAATTCTAGCTGCTGCTAACAAGAATTCTGTAAGCCTAAATGTAGACCACGGTATACCAAACCCTTAGCCTATATTTAGTAACAACACCTCTGGACAATGCTGTAATAAAAAAAAATATGATCCCCCAACTTGATGCCAAAAGGCTTGAATGTAAGTGCATGACTACCCACAATGAATGTAGTTATCATGAGTGCCACACAATTTCCAACAATGTGGTTTGTCTGAATGATGAATACGTGCTGGAGTCAAATACCACCGTGTTACAAATTTAAAGTACTGGATGTATATATTAGAATCATAGAATGTTAGAGTTGAAAGGAATCTTGCAGGTCATCTAGTCCAACTAGTCATCTAGTGCAGCAAGTGGAAATGAAATAGGGGAGGAGGAGGGGGGTTGTCAGTAGAGCCTGCGTGAGGGGAGGGGAGCCAGAGCAAGAAAAGGGGGGACTCGCTGGAAAGAAATATATGGGATGAGAAGGGGAGGGGGCTGTGAGGGGGAAATAGAGAGGAAGGCGGCTTTAAAGGGAGTGAGAGAGGAAACGACGACACTGGAGGGATTTCCTGTGAAGACGCTTCTTCTGAAAGCGGAAAGCCCCACAGACCCAAACATTAGCGATTGGTGAGTTCCATAAACCAAGCCAGAATCTATTTAGATGTAATGACTGTGATGGCTTTTTAATATTAAAATTAATCAGGGCCCAAACATTGCAGTATTATTAAAACAATGCAACACAGCATAATTCAGCTAAAAGTTAAACACATTGAAAGTCCTGTATTTCAATGAGATATAAAGCATGCATTTAACCTGATTTTTAGGCACGCTTAAGCCTGTTCAAAAGGATATCTTAACTTTGTATAAGCTTGGACTGCACATCTCTCAACTTGAAATAAATGAGAGGAAATTACTGATTTTATTTGAAGCTATGGATTTGTGCCTTTGTTTACAGCATTGTATCACCAGAAGGGCAAGTGTTGGGCTGCCATGTCTATTCTCTTACATACAACAGATACCGTGCACAGATGAATTATAACCTATCATAAATAATTTTATATATTTAGAAAAATATTATTACAATAATTTCTTCATACATATTAATCATCATAGTCACAATTCATAATATAAGAGAACAAAATGTCAAATATCATCTCCATAGATTCTCAAAAGATATAGTACAACCTTATAATATATACTAGTCCTCCTCTGTAAAAAAGTTTCAAAAGGGAGGACTCCTTAAATTCTCTTTACATGTGCTCTGTCTTCCTCCAACAGAGGTCCAGATGTCCTTCTGTTTCAGAATCTTCCTCAGGGAGTCCAACAAT